ACTTGATTGAAACCATTACCATAATTGTAATAACAGCACTTTTTGCACTATAAAGGCCAGAGTTTTTTTGCTGTTAAATGTTTTTTTTTGTTTTTAAATAAAGGTGATTATTTATTTTAATGGTTTTTTTTATTTTTATAAGTTAGGCATAATATATTGTATGATTAGAGCTTGGAATTATACTATGTAATTGAATTATGGTTTTTAAAACATGTTGATCAAGTTGATATCAATTATAAAAACATATATATATATATATAGGTTTATCTCATTTAGTCGCTTTGGATAATTTCATCATATTTGAATTTATTATTAAAGATATGTTGAGATTTATTATAATATAGTACTATTTAGGTGAACAATATGAGTTAATGAATCAATATTTTGTAATCACTATATTCTTTGTTTAGTGGGGAGGATGCAAGGCCAAGGAATAACAGCCCGTTGTCTTTATGGCATATTTTGTGATGCATAATAAAATAACATCCCGGTGATTCATTTAAGTAGATATTCTCTCCCATTTTAGATTCGAAAAAACTACCTACTTTTGATTCTCAAGTAGGAACTTATATTAAAAATTCCCAAAGAACAAGTCTGTACACATACTTGATTGAAACCATTACCATAATTGTAATAACAGCACTTTTTGCACTATAAAGGCCAGAGTTTTTTTGCTGTTAAATGTTTTTTTTTGTTTTTAAATAAAGGTGATTATTTATTTTAATGGTTTTTTTTATTTTTATAAGTTAGGCATAATATATTGTATGATTAGAGCTTGGAATTATAATATGTAATTGAATTATGGTTTTTAAAACATTTTGATCAAGTTGATATCAATTATAAAAACAAATATATATATAGGTTTATCTCATTTAGTCGCTTTGGATAATTTCATCGTATTTGAATTTATTATTAAAGATATGTTGAGATTTATTATAATATAGTACTATTTAGGTGAACAATATGAGTTAATGAATCAATAGTTTGTAATCACTATATTCTTTGTTTAGTGGGGAGGATGCAAGGCCAAGGAATAACAGCCCGTTGTCTTTATGGCATATTTTGTGATGCATAATAAAATAACATCCCGGTGATTCATTTAAGTGGATATACTCTTCCATTTTAGAGGCGAAAAAAGTACCTACTTTTGATTCTCAAGTAGGAACTTATATTAAAAATTCCCAAAGAACAAGTCTGTACACATACTTGATTGAAACCATTACCATAATTGTAATAACAGCACTTTTTGCACTATAAAGGCCAGAGTTATTTTTGCTGTTAAATGTTTTTTTTTTTTTAAATGAAGGTGATTTTTTATTTGTATAGGTTAGGCATAATATATTGTATCATTAGAGCATGGAATTATAATATGTAATTGCATTATGGTTTTTAAAACATTTTGATCAAGTTGATATGAATTATAAAAACTAATATATATAAGTATATCCCATTTAGTCACTTTGTATAATTGTATCATATTTGAATTCTTTAAATGTTTATAATTTAAAAGAATTTAATAAAAGAAATGCACTATTATTTTCATGTGCATATAAATAACTTAAAAAATATTATGTTCATAATGTATTATAGGATAGGATTTAATAAATATCATGTTACAATGTTAAAACTAATTTTGAAATTTTTTGAGCAAGTCTTTGGTCATTTTAATGATTGTAAGCAAATATCATTCTGGTTTCAATGTAATATTAATAATATTAATGGTTAATGTTGAACACAGTGTAATGAGTAACCAACCTTTTTTAAAATTATTTATTTATTCAATAACTAAAAAATATAAAAATGTAACATTAGAAACATACATTCTAGTGATGTGTGTCATCTTTCTTCGAGAATTATAACCGTCATTATTAACTCTTAACTCATAATTTCTTTCAGTTTAATAAGATTTTTCTCATGGTCCAATCTCTACAAATTGATATCAACATCATTAATTGTGTTGATGATAAATAGCATTTTTCAGTCTTCGTGGGACAGCACTTTTAGTGATGATAGTTACCTGTAGTTTTATTTTCAAACAAGTGAAGACACTTTATCAATACTCATTGCTTTATATGAATTTTAATGGCGAAACTTTTGATTTACGTCAACTCTTAGATGATATATTCTACTTTTGAATTTTGGTAGGGAAAAGTAGTGGCATGAAATAGTAAGTAGTGTTTTAATAATTCACTACTTTGACTTCCACTAATTTAATTAGATGATCTTGCCAATGAGTTGTCGGAAATAAAAAATGTCAACACCAAAATGTATGTTTAAAGTAATACTATATCTACGTAAAGAATTATTATTACAAGTTGCCATTTGAAATTAAAAAATATGTAGTCGTTTTACCACCAATGATAACAAAAAATAATGGTAATGTAACATTTTAGAACTGCTTATTTCATTATCTGTCAAAAAGAATGAATACTTTACATTTACTTGCAGTGTATTTATAATTATTATTCTTGCATTCCTTTCAAATAAGTTTCAGTTGACTAGAGCATATTGATTATAATGACGGGGATAGGAGTTCATTTTGATAAATTCATTCAAATGAACCACCACTCNCCACTATCACCGGATCATGATCCAGCACAATGTTATCATTTTTTTATTATAAAATGTCGTGAACAGCGCCCGCACACATGGTGTGCGCTATTAGAATCTTATCTGACGGACCGGCAATTTCGAGTCGTACACGAAGAAGCAATAACAAATTGGAAAAATATATCGGCTGGAGTACCACAAGGTAGCGTCCTAGGACCTATTCTCTACTTACTCTACACAGCCGATATCCCGACCAACACCGACTCAACAACAGCTATGTTTGCCGACTACACAGCAATTTTAACAACAAGTAAGGACCAACGGGCCGCGACAGACAGCTTGCAGATCTCGATCAATAATATTTATAATTGGACAAGACGTTAGAAAATCTTGATCAACAGTGACAAGTCGGTACACGTAAATTATACTTTACGTAAAACTGTAAATATCCCTGTATTGTTGGACTACACAATAGTTTCACAAAAATATTCGGCTAAATACCTGGGTATTCATCTCGACTCCCGGTTGAATTGGAAACACCATGTCCGCCAAAAAAAAACTGCAAATCAAAGAAAAAATGCGTAAATTGTACGGGCTAGTTGAAAGGAATTCCACGCTAGACCTGACAGACAAACGACTTCTATACGTAGCCATCATCAAACCGATCTGGACCTATGGCATACAACTGTGGGGTTGTGCCAACGAATCTAACATTGAAATCATTTAACGTTGTCAAAATATTGCCCTTCGGACCATTGTCGCGGCATACCGGTTCGACAGGAATGACGTCATACAATCAGAAAGTTCGCTAACAAATATGTCAATAGACTAGAGTTGCACACCCATGCAGCTGCAAAACAACTGCTTGATAACTCGCAAGACATCAGGCGCCTCAAACGCTTGAAGCCCTATGACTTAGTTTAAGTAATTTAGGCTAAGGAAAGGGGACATCTCATTGGAGAATCAACCCCAAACATGTTTAAGTATACTATGTATAATTACTACTTTATACTCATTTAATTGTATTTATAGAGACTACTTGTCGTTTAAACAAAGATGCTGAAAGGCAGTTTTAAAAAAAAATTTTTTATCATAAAATTATTTATTTGATTCATTAACGAACAACATTTTATTTGTTCATGATATAGTACTGAATCATTTAGTCACTAACTATATACCTCTAATTGAGTGACTGACCAATATATATTCAGTTATAAAATTGTATTGAGATTAATTTATCAGCTTCATAATAATTTGGTAAAGTAACAAAATTTTCATTGCTTCATATAAAAAAAAGGAGCATTACTGGGTTCTAAACTACTTATCAAAATAAATGTATTTACTACTAGTATCGTAACAAAAAAAAAGGTAACGTGTTACTTCCAACTACTGATTAAGTAGTATATTGTGTATCATTTTCCAGATGTTATTTGACATATTTTTTTTTTTTATTAATTTTTAATATCAGCTGTATTCAAAACATCTTATTAAGAAAAAAAAACCATCCATAAAATTAATTGTATGCTAAACATCCTTTAGAAGGTAATTTTCTAATTGTCAATTATTATTAAATTTTTGGAAAAAAAAAAATCTTAATTTATCTTACTACAATGAGCCAAAGTGTATAAATATTCTATATTCAGAGCTCATATTTAATGTATTCAATTGGTTTTACTGTGATATTTCTTTTGTTTGTATACAATATTTTTGTAATTTTTCGATCAAAAATCTTAGTTTAAAAGAGAAAAAAAAATCATTAAGACTATTCTACTATTTAGCATAACATTAAATATGTCATTGCTCTCAAGTTCAATAATTAGAGAGAAACTTGATTCAGGGATTATGATTTCTTATCGACCGTAGGTACAATAATAAGGGTAATTTTCTTAACACAATATAATATTATTTAGGCAATGATATAAACAATTTAGATTTTTAGCTGAAAATAATTTTTTATTGTCAGAAATAATAAATAGTGAACTGTTTATTATTTCTACTTAAACATTTGAATCAATAATAATTAATGTTTGTTGAATATACAAAAATTTAATTTTCTATATAATAAATTGTTAATATTATATTAGTCCACTGAAACACAATCAATTATGAATTAAGATCACATTGGTTCGGTTTAAATTTAAACATTTTCTTACTAACAAGAAATAAAATCAATTTGATAATGAGGCACATGCCGGACAGAGCGTTGTTTTCTGTACAATTTTCATTATTAATTATAATCCAAATAGATTGATATCAAATTTGTTTAAAATCAATATATCAAAGCGAGCAATTTACGTTTTTTACAAATTGAAATAAAATGTATTTACAACTAAACAAATTTAGGACATAGATGGCAGTTTAATAATTTAGAGAATATTATTTGTATTTGTTTTTTGTTTTTACATAGACTGCTGTTATTTAACATGTGCAATCTACGTAAAAAAAAAAAAAAACTGCCTGATAGAAGGCACACATTAACTATCAACCAACAATAACAAGTGTCCATTTGATGTGGCTATATAAATTAAATTTCTTACATAATATGGATCAGCATAGTTTTTTTTTTTTTGAGTTTAACATTTTTTATTTTTTATCAAAAAAAATAAATGAAAAAAAATTAAGTTATAAAATATATATATGTATATATATATATTAATCTCCTGTCATTTTCAACTTGCTAAGTTTCAATAGACAAAATAAAGTCATCTATTCAATTATTTTCAAAACTTTGCCAATGGCAATAGTTTTACCTGAAAAAAAGAAAAAGGATTAATTAAAATTTTATGGGAAACTTCGTATTTAATCAAATATTTAATTTTGACAAACAAGTTACAATATTACTTATAATAGAAGTAACTTCTAGGTTTGGACTGTTTAGTCAGTCAATAAGCATGTTATATTTTTTAATAAATATTTCAGTATAAAGATAATACAAATATATCTTATTAGAAATACATACCTTCATCTCGAAGTGTAAATCTACCCATTTGTGGAAAAAGTTTGAATTCTTCTAAACAAACAACACCCGCACATTCAAGCCTCATGATAACTACTTGATCTTGTTTAACAAATCGTGGTCGCATATTAGATTTTAATCCAGTTTTTCTATCAACTAGACATATTAAAGCCTGAAAAATTAGAGTCTCATAAAAAATTATGCAAAATACCTACTTTTTTTTTTTAAATATTAAGAGGAGCAAGGGAGTTATTAGTTAAGACTTTGAGTATATTCAAACTATGTCATGCATAGTTGCATAGAACACACACACACTAATTAGTTATTTATATAACTTTTCTTTATTAGTTTTGAAAAATTTGAAAACTAGGAAAAAATATAAGCAAGTTTAAATCTTAATTCTGAGCATCACTATTAATAAATATTTGTTTTCATACACATATTTTACTCACTTTAACTTCTACTACTTCAGCCACACAATGGATATGCATAACTGCTGAATATCCAGCGCATATAATACTTTTATGTTCTAATATGACAACCTAAAGTAGTAAATTATATTTAAATCTTTAAAACAATGTTAAGTTGCGTTAAATTTGTAAAAATGCGTCCAAAACAAAAATTACAACTGCACTTATGGTACTGAAGGTATATGACATCATACGTTTAATACCATTTGTAACCACACAAATGGGTACTGTTAACACCAAAGAGTGTACAGAGTATGGTGTCCCATATGTATCCATTAGCTCTTCATATCAGTTTCATTTCTAATCACCAGAAATAGTATGTGTATCCTAAAGACATTCCAAGAAGAATTTAAAAGAAAATTAATTCTTTTGAATTGTTTATTATATATATATATATAATTATTATATTTCCCTGCAAAAAATGCACATGGGCAAATAAAAAAGGGTTGTATCTAATCTAAAAATTTGGTTTTAAATATTACCATGCAGTGAAGTAAATTGCGCACAGTATTTAAGTCTGAACTGAACATCATTTTTTACAGTACACGTAATCTTTATCTTGCATTAAGCAAGTTATTTATTTAGTCTTTTGCGGTTAACCGTCCACACCAAGGTGCATGCAGTACTAAACATTTGTTCATATGCAAACGAATCTGTCTGGACGCATCTTAATATACTATTTTTACAGGGACTTTTAATACCTGTCCATCAAATATACGACAAGTTTTAACTGGATTAATTGGATCACATAAAATAAAACCAGGAGAGACATCTTCTTCTTCAACTCCTTTTAGTTTAACTTTGATATTTTCACCGGGTCCAACTGAGGTAACTTCTTCGTCATCTGACCACAATTGGTCAACAATAACTTGAGTCTGTGTAAATAAAGTAAATTATAACAATATAAAATTGTGTATAAAAATATATTCAACTACTATATTAAAACATACTCTATTTGGCATTAATACTAGTATTTGGGTCTTCTTTGCTTCACCAGATTCTACTTTTCCCATGAGTACAGTTCCCATGTCTTTATATTTTTCTACAACAGGCATTATAAAAGGTCCGTCTGAACGACGATTTAATAAAGGTAAATTGTCAATAAATGGAATAAATGCAGGCCCTCTAAAAATAAAATAAAAATGAATTTAACAAAAATAGTTTTTTCCTAATAAATAATAATCTTACCTGTACCAGGGGCAAATTGATTCATCAACCTGGTCTTTTAATCCTAAACCAGTTTGACCAGACACGGGCATAAATGTTAAATCTTTAGTTACGTTAAACCCGAGTTTTTTTAAGTAAGGTAAAATTTTATCTCTACATTCTTCATATCTTATTTTGGACCAAAGGACAGTCGGATCGTCCATTTTGTTTATTAATACCACCATGTGTTTAACACCGGCTGTTTTCGCTAACATGGCATGTTCACGAGTTTGACCACCTCGATCAAATCCAGTTTCAAATTCTCCTTTACGAGCTGAAATAACCTATTAAACAAAATATAATTATTTATTGATTATGTTTAAGCAGTGCTTGAAAATAAGGGAGGGGGAGAGGTTAGCAAGAGAATCCTGTGAAATTTAAATGTTTACAAAATTTTTTTACTATATAGTGTACTTAATTTATTTTTACTACTATATTTGCAACTTGTGAATCATTGTTTGAAATTGTTGAACATTTTCACTGGGCCAAAACAAATGTTCACTATAAGAAATCAAGTAAAACCTAAAAAGACATCTTAGGATAATAAGGATGGGTGCAGCCACTGTTATAGATAATTTAATGTATACCTGTAAGTAACAATAAACCATTGTTTTCAAAAAAATAATTAGAAATAGAAATAAATAGAAAAAAAAAATATTCTGTCATCAATTATATTTTTGTTTTTCACAGACAGGGAAATGCGTTTTGGGTCATTCTAAAATATTCATAAAATTTGAATTTGTTGTTCACTATTTCTCTATAGTCTATAAAATGTTGCAAATTCTTATTCTGTGTTTTGAACCCAGTGTCTTCTTTTATATTATGAGTAGAGCGAAGAAGCTTATGGTTTTCAAAGATGATTATTTATTAATTTCTTTTTTCAGTGGACAACTTTTTTACCAACAATTTTGCTCAGATTTATTAAATGATAGCACTTTTTCTAAAAGGCTTTGACGTAATACATTAAATAAACATATTTATTAACACAATATTATCTATAATATAGTTTATAGAAAAAATTTAAATTTAGTTATTAAAAAAATAAAAATAATAATAATACGCATAATAATATTTTTAACTATTGTAGTATGAAATATCAAAATAATTCACTAAAATTCTGAAAAATAATACAAATAATGTAAAATCGCTTCCAAGACTAATAATAATTTAACCAAACATATAAATAATAGAACTAAAAACTACACAAAAAACGTATAAAAAACTTATATGTAACTGAAATAAATTTTATATAGATAGGACAAATTAGAAATTAAAAAATAAATTTATAAAGAACACAATTCTGAAATAAAATTTAAAAAAGACTGCCCCCAATTAAAAGTTTCGTTAAACATATTTTAGAAAATAACCATAATATGAGTTTTGAAATTAACATTGACTTCAAAATATTAAATACCCAAAATAACATTTACATTAATTCAATTTTAGAAGAATTACACATGAAATAAAGAAAAATATAATTTTAAATGTATAAATCGATTTTAAAAACAATACCCTATACTAATACGTTTTAGATAATAAATAATAACCAAATAAATTATATTTCTTAACATATCTATGTCTAATAATAATCAATTTTAAATAATCTCTCCAATTAAAATAAATTATTTCTATGTATTCCTTTATTTCATTTTTATATTCAGCCACATTTTACATTTTGACAATGATAAATTTTGCACTATATTTGACACTTTTATTTGTAAAACTACTACTAAGTATTGTGTTTTTAAAAGTATAAAAACTGTGTGTTCATAGTAGGACATTAAGTTCTGAGTTCTAACTATTTAGTATACTCAGAAATAAATAATTTTTAACATACCAAAACAGCTAAATCCGCTTGAGCAGTGCCACCAATCATGTTGGGTACAAAACTTTTATGACCAGGAGCGTCCAATATAGTAAAATGTTTCCTTTCGGTTTCAAAATAAGCTCTTCCTACTTCAACAGTTTTACCTTTTTCTCGTTCTATAGATTATATAAGAATAAAAAGAAATAATATTAATAATAAATAAGTAATAAATAACTATTTTTCAGAAGTACCTTCTTGATTTGTATCTAATGCCCATGACAAATACCAAGATTCTCTGCTTCTTTCTTTAGCTTCTTTTTCATATTTATCTAAGGTTCTTTTATCGACCATACCAGTAAGAGCCATTATTTGACCACCAATTGTTGATTTCCCAGCATCTAAAGAAATAATTTTAATTAAGTAGGTAGATGAAAAAGTTATGCATGATATACTTATTATTTTTTTTAAATTTATAAATATTTCACAATAAATAATTTTTAATATTATGACATTTTTTTGATATTATTTACATATTACTTTATACATCTATACCTTTCAAACTTTTTTTTATTTTAACTAGGTACGTATACATTTTTTTCTTAAATTTATTTACCTAATATTAAAATAGGGAAAAATAAGACACAGTGCGACATAGTATGCTGTGTAGGCAAGAATTGTAAGAAAGAAAATGTTATGATTTGATATAAAGTGTTCCAGGAGTTTTCTTACATCAAAAGCTATATAAATACTATCTACTCTTAAAGACTACTGGGGTTAGACTTCAGTATGTAATATGTTGGATTTTCTTGGAACATGTGTCATGGAAAGAACTTCTCTACATTTTTTACTACCTCTTTTAATTTATATATTTTTTAAAGATAATAGAAAACTAATATAAGTGACGTTAACTTTGACAACAAAATATATGTCCATTTTAAATTAAAACGAATAAAATATAAGTAGATATATATTTATAATATTGCACAAATGGGTGTTTTATAAACTCGGCTAAAAAAGTAATAATACAATTGAAGGCCAATTAATATATTTAAGAAAAATAAATTAGTAAATTTGTATAAAATGTGAAACAGGTAAATTTAAAGTATTAAGAAAGAATGATAGATATAGATAAATAGTTGTCAATTATTAAAATAATTAGATCAAGAAATTATAATACGTGGATTATTCATTAAAAAATAGATAGAATTGACAAAAATGATCTAGCCTTACCTACATGCCCAATAATGACAATATTGATATGTTCTTTTTTAGGTTTTGGTTCTTGTGATTCTATAGGCTTTTTTGGAACGAGTTTAGGTTTTTCTTCATCACCGTCCAAGTCAGGATCAATAATATCAACATCAATATCATCATCAACAATGGGTTTGGCGGTGCCATCTTCGGGAGTGCTGGATGCTCCGTCTTCCCAAGAGTCGAGCACAGGGGCTGTACTCTTTTCACTGGTGTTATCGCCTGGCAACGGATCTGTTATGCTGTCTACAGCTATTATAATACAGACAAACAGGTCCATTAGAGACGACCGGGACACGTCATAACCTTAAACTCGAAATTAAACACTTACTAGTAGGCTTTTTGTCACTACTACCAGTGGCCGTCTCGTCAGCCGGGCTGTTTTCGTCACCATCTTCGTTGGCCGAGAACGACGCGAACGACGGTACAAATTCGACAGCGTTCACGTTCAGCTTGATGAGTTTTTGTTGTAAATCACTGGCACTGGAATCGGCCAGTTCGGATTCTTCCCACGAGTCCGGCGCTGCGTTGTTGGACATGTCGTCGGCAGCCGTCGGTCGGTGTCCGCCCCGTGTATTTTGGTGCACAGATAACGATTTAGGAAAGCCAACTACAACTCACAGCGACGAAAAACACAACAGTCGCGAACGAGACAACGTGTTTCACAGTAGGGAAAATAAAATAATTAAGAGACGTGATACGGAACGATACAAGACGTGTAGTGCCGTACTTTTCCACCGGAAAATGGTGGCGCCACGCGGGACCAGTCGCAGTGCAGCCAACGCGGTGGCCGCCGGTTCATCCGGTATTGCAAAAAAACCGTGGTTCTCAACATGTCAACCGGTTCCGAAGCTCAAAAGACACCGTACGCAATGAAATACTATACCGTCTGTTTGTGTGGCACCGAAGAACGAACTTTTCGTCTCCGACGTAGTTTCGGTGTGTGTAGTATGTACTGTGTCACCAACGAGAAAAAAAAAAAATCGTTTCGACCAATTTTCTCGGACTTGTATACCACCTACTTATTATCATCTACTATAGGGTTGCCATAAACGTTCAAGTACTGACCGGGATATTTACGAAAATATTTTCAACATTAATTAATCGAAATTTTATATTTCTCTGACTTTATCATCTATTTCAGTAGTTCTGGTTATCTCATGACATACGTATGAAATTCCGAACAAGTCGTTTTGAAATTAAATGTGCATCGAACGATAGTTTCCACAGTTTCTACTTGAAGATGGTTACGTTCTTCGTCTCACCGGGGGCCAATATCAGTGAAAAGATCGTCTGAACGTTGGCGTTACGACCGGGACTGGCATACGGGTATCGTTAACATTAAAATTAAATTACGTTTCCTTTCCGATTTATTAGTGTTTTTGAAAGAAATGTCACCGTTTGTCATGCACGTTTTTTGTGCTCCCGTCTTCACCGTAATAATACAGTCCGATGATTGTCATCAGTAAAGGTAATCTTTTCATAGACCAAGTGGAGTGTCCGACGTAAAACCACGGGTTTTGGAATGCAAATTTTAAAATGTAATTTATTGCTTTCGGTACTTATTTTGTTTTAAACGTAACCGGGACTTTTGGAGTGTCTAATGGGACGACCGGGACCGGAGTCATAACCCGGTGTACATGTCCCGGTGCACCGGGGAACGTATGGCAACCCTAATTGACTACGGCATACGGGCAGTTGAAAATAGAGACAAAATCAACCGCTGTTCTGTACGCGAACTGTGTTAAATCGATAAAAAAAATATCGAAATAATACGAGCCGCGGTAGAGTTGTGTGTGCGAGCGTGTAAAGTATTACAATAGCACTGACGCGTAGCTACGGGTTGTCGGTTATTTTTTTCAAAAATCCTACGCCCGCAATATAATTGTTATCAATTTTCGGCCGTCTCGTCGTTCGTTCGCATTGCGTTGAATATGTTTGGCCCTGGCGGCCAAAGCGCAATACGTTGAGAACCATTGGCACAACAAAAGAGACAAAAGTGTTTACACCTTCTCTTTTTTTTTTTTTCCATACACACCACGGGCGGTCGCACGACGTGTTATCGGTTTTCGCGGGCCGCTGTGATAACGTCGGGGCGATCGGCGGGAGAAGAAAAGAAAAAAAAACCACCCGCCCGACGCGTGGCCGCGAACCGTGAATTCGTGACGTCACGCCGGGGCCGAGTGCGTGCGTCACCGCGAACGCGACTCACCGTCACGTGACGTACGCCTACCTACGCGGTGTACGGCGGCGGCGCGCGCGACAACAAGTAGGTACACGGCCGCCAGGGAAAAAAAAACCTGTACACGTATCCGTCAACGGCCGGCAGATCCGAGGGACGGGTCCGTTTTCACGGATTCGACGGTTCGCTATCGTTTTGTGTACTGCGCACACGCGTGACGGCGAATCCGCCGACCGTTCAAACGTCGCAAAACCGGCGTTCGGGAATTACGTTTCGCCGCGGAAAGACACACATACCCTCCCCCTCCCCCCCCTTCCCCCGCCCACCAAATGTCACGTGTCTACGTACAAATAGCATTATAATATCCGGATAGGTACTATTGTTTATAAGTGGGCCGCGAATTGCATTTTCTTCCGGACGTCCTAGAGCGACGCTTTCCGCGCACGACATTCACTCCGCGTATCAGAGAATTAAAATGCGAAACTTCTATTGTTTATGAACTTTTTTTTGGTTTAATTTTAGAGCATTTTTCGACATTTGAAGTGCATGTATAGATTTTTAAGGCGTTTTTTCTTCTGTTTCCAAACTCCGTACAGTTATCGGAAAATCTGATAGAATTCATTTTGATTTCCTCCTATTTGCATTATTTGCACTCTTGTGTTTAGTAAATTTATGTACCTAATAAATATTTTCAACGTTTAAAAAGATTTGTAGAGTATTTTTTTAAAGAATTTTTCTTGTATTTCATAGCATTTAAATCCGCACCCTACTTTTAACGTTAGAACTGATTCCGCCGACTACTTGTCATAATAAAAAAAAAAAAAAAAAAACATTCATTCGTCCGTCATTCACGCTCGTGACCACAATAAACTTCTTCCAAAATTAGACACCGGACGTACTCGTATTATGTTATTCACGCCTGCATCATGTTGAATCTAGACACAAGTGCGAACACTATTTACTATGCTGATATTCCGATTCAAGACGAATCAGTCGATTCACTTTTTATTTATAACTCGATATGGTTTGATAATAATAATCCGTTAGAAATAAATTCAGACAAATCGAAATAATGTATTAATTATTTTAACATGAATTTCGAAAATATTCATCCGACGTATACAATGCACGTTAGCTCATCATGCATCGCGGATCCGGTAAAAACTCTATTGTTTTGTCTGTAAATCTGAAAAATAAACTTAAATACCTCGGTATAACATATTAGACAATAAATTTAAAACGCAATTTATCGTGTTATAAACGCATTAACTGTATTACAATGCGTACATTATTTTGTGCCTTTGATGACGTTAAAAATACACTTAATTTACAAATAAAAAGACTTATACTGGTACATACCGCCGGTTCGATCAACACTGAATCACGGGATAATTGTATTGGGTCAGGCATACGAGACCCGTATTAGGTATACCGGCTCGTTAAAATCAACTGTATGCAGCTCAATGGCTTAATTAATTAAATAGCTTGAACAAACTAAAATGTACCAATAATTAATATGTGTACACGATGTACTATTAAAGTGTATAACGTCAAAGCCTTGTATTTTAAACGCACCTTAATTGCATTACATAAGTGCAGATAATATGACACTTTATCAACCGTCAATCGCGAATACTGTGCTAGACACACAGAAAATATTCCTATAAAAATTCCTAAATTATGTAAACATTTTGGTGCGAAAGGTTCTATTTCTTTAGCAATACATTTATGCAGGATTCATAAGAAATTCATATAATATTGGACTTTCGTGGTTTAAAACATTTTACACCGTACTTAAAACTCGTAGATTTAAACAATTTTGAAACTGTATGTCCACGAAGATTATTCATTATTCAAATTTATGTTTTTAGTGTTATTGTAAACGCTTAAAAAAAAAAACCCTCCACCACAAGTTTTTAGCTTATCGGAGGGTTACAAATACAAAAAAATAATTTATCCTAATTGTATTATTGTATTGTTTCTTTATTTTTGTTTATTGACGTACTGTAAAGATATTAATATGTACTTGTACAAAAAGAAAAATTATTTGCAAATAAATATTATGATTATTATTATTATTTGTTTGTTAATAGTTAATTCGGATTGTAGGTTTTTTTCCCCTTATGGGCGGCCCGATTGTAACGATTCTGTTGAAAAAAAAAGTTTCAAAGAGTTAAACACAAACAGATGACACGACGATACAAACCAGAGGGCGTGTGCTTACGATATAGTAAAAGTAAACGCGTTTGTGTGCGATTTCTCCGCATTCCTGTTGCTCTCGCACCACTGTCGAATTGAGTGATTTTGAACAGCCGTGTTTAATATTCATAATAATAATTTAATAATATTCATATTATAATTTAAAATATCAAATTCCCACCATAATGTGCACTTCGTGTTTTATCACTTGTCATACGTTTACACTATTTACACCACTAACGGGTAAACTACATTCGTTTAAAATATTTGTTCATTTGTTACTATTTAGTATCAAGTATACTCACAGGGCCAGACAATTTTTTTTTAATCGTTACAACGCTGTGCTTTTAGGTTAATATTACCAAACTCGTATGCATTTAAAATTTATTTAATAGACTAGATATCTATTAGCTTTAGTATTTAAAGAAGAATATCAACTCGGACACTTTCCGTTCAAATTTCAATTACAATACGTCAACATTTTCAGAAAAATTATCCGGTTCATAATTTACATTAAAACACGTAGGTTCTCGTTTGAAAAACTAAAGTTGGAATCGCCACAGGTTACTCCTTAAATGAAAACTTGAACACAAGCATATACGACGGCGTGTATATTTGGTTGCCGCACGTTTAACCGCCGAGTCTTCGTGTTTATTGTGTAAACATTTTGAGCGCCCAAGGCGCGAGAAAGTTGTGTAACTATGGTACACGTGAGTACGTGACGATCCGTTACACAACATGCATAGTACACAACTTATGAGAAGAATATTATAATATTTTGTCAAATTGTATTTTTTTTTTTACACAATAATTATCATGTTTCGGATATGGCGTCTGCGCGAGTCTGCAGTTAATCCGATCTACGTGACACACACGTGGTAAGCAGATGGGTATTAATTTAGGTTTAAGATTAAAGCAGTGATTATAATTTCATTACAAATTTGTTGACGCCACCATGTCAGACATAAATCCTGGCTGCTGAGCTTGAACCGTACAAACAATACAAAATGTTTTAGATTTTTCATTGTTCAATTATACATAGGTAACTATGATAGATTGATTATAGTCGAAATTGCATAAATATTAAATAAAATATAATTGATTTTTAATAATAAATATTTATTATTAGTAGTATTTCATTAAAATTTTTAAATTAAAAAAAAAAAAAACAGACAGACATATTTCACACTACGGGCGGGCGATTTTTGTAGGTTAGAAGTTAGGAAGGTAGGATATAGAAGGCAATTGTATTTATATCTGTACACAACGATTAAAACGATTTTGAGCGGAGTTCGGTCAATAGTATTTTTAACAATTTGCGTTTTCACGTCATAACAAAAAATAAATAAAAACGATTGCCAACAAAAAAACTTATTTTTAATATTTTAATCTTTTTTAATCTAAAGAACCGGTTTTTCCTCCGGAGTATTAATGAGAATTTTAAAAAGACCTTTCTAAAGTATCAATTAGAGCCAAAATTCAACAAAAAATGTTTAATGAATTGTTTTGATTGGATTAAGATTTATGAAAGGAATTTTGCACACAGTTTAAAAAAAAAAAAGACGTCCTAGGATAATGGGGATGGGTGTAGCCATTGTTATAGGTAATTTAATGTATACCTGTAAACAACGATTCTGAGCAGTGATAGTGATGTTTTGTCTACAATATATATAGCAAAATAATTAAATAAGGTTTATATATCTTCTTTAACAATATTTGTTTAATATTGTACCGATTTTCCTACGTTTTTCCAGCTTTTCCATGTTTTTTCTCGGTTTTTCACATTTGCTGGGAAAACTCTTGAGAAAATGTTGAGAAAATATCGACCTCTCTAAAGTATCTACCCACACTGATTTCCTTTCAAAGAAGGTGCTACACTTAAAAATCGGAGCAAGATTTCTGGTAGAAAAGTTGGGCACGGATAAAAAAAAAGTAAACGTCTTTGTAAAACCATAAGCTTCTTCGCTCCATCTAGAATCTAGAAAAGGGGGGGGGGATGGGTGATTTAATAAATTATTTCTTTATAAAATAGAGTCAATTTTTTAAATTTGGAGGTTAAACCCACACAATCTTATGAAGGGACCGCGGAGATGGGTATTTTGTGAATATTTGCCAAGTGGGGTCAAATAATTTTTGGGTTCGTCTAATAAGTACATTAATTTTATACGTATTTTATTGAGTGTACGGTCGGCACTGCGATATTCTGCGTTGATAACAACTAATAGAAAAAGACAACAAAAAACACAAAACTATCATATGATTCAATAATAATAATCACAATTATAACTTTTTATTATTATTATTATATTATTTTTAAGTACAAATTGCTTGAAATTAAATATAATATAATATTATTAATTTATCGACTACACAAGAGTTAACAAATACTATGAGCAAATCTATATATATATATATTATATAATATTGTGTGTGTGTGTGTGTATTTGTGTACACACACCGTTTTGTATTTTTTTTTTTCAATTTATACAATAACTTTACGGATTTCATTTCATATTTCTTTGTAAATATTATCTATAGATAATATTTTACGGCCTTTAAACATTGTATAATATTGTTATTAATGGCCTGCAATATTATATATTATTATTAAAACGCGAGTGGCGATTTGTCATAATATATTATAATATTACGATATAGAGATTATTACAAACAAACAAACATAATATAATAATAATAACCGTACAAATAAACTCAAAACATTTTGGTTTGACATAAAAAAACAAACAAAATAATCAACGAAATATATGATTGTATAATAATAAGTATACTATAATAATAATAATAATAATAATAATAATAATAATCAATCAATAATATATAATAAATATGAGATGATGGTAAACAATTCAAGAATAATATTATAATAATATCAGTGTAATAAAACATTTTTAATGATTTTTTAATAAAAAAAAAAAAAAAAAAACGAACAAATACACTGAGAAATATAATTTTATTTTAGTTACAAAGACTATACAAAACCGCTAGTAACGATGATAACAAAATGTGTTTTACATTGATAATAATATATAATATAATAATAATTAATAATATTATATTGTTTAGTTTTAATAATAACTCTCTTCCGATGTATAACACGCGAGACGTTTTTTTTTTTTTTATTAGGCCATTCGTTCAAGTTTTTTATTTTTTTTTTCCATGAAATAAATTTACCGTATATAGATATAACATGAGAATATTATAACGATGAATTATTGTTATTAGAAATCGTGAAATTCTCGATTTTTCAAAAAAAGCTTTTTAGAATAATATATAATATTATACTATATTATAATATAAGAAAAAGACTGGCACGATTTAGTGAAACGCGTTTATAATGATAAGCCTACAGCGATGATTATTATAATTATATTGGAAACACGACGTTAATTATCATTATTATAGAATTAGAATAATAATACATTAAATGAACGACAATTTTTTTTTTTTTTTTTTTTTTTTAAAAAAAAAAAAAAAAAAAAAAAATTGTCGTTCATTTAATGTATTA